CAGCAGCAGCTGGGGAGTGGCGGCGGGCGCAGGAGAGAAGCAGCCAGCGGGCGCAGGCGGGCTTAGGGCCGGTTTAGGGTTTAGGGTTTAGGGTTTAGGGTTTAGGGTTTAGGGTTTAGGGTTTTGGACCTTCGGACTTAATGGGGTCTTCGGAAAGACAAGCATCGCAAAGAGCTTCGCAAGCGTCGCGGAGGGCTTCAGCTTTTTCTTTGCGAGAAGCCGCGAGGTGGGCCCGCACGAAGTCCACGGCTTCCTAAGCCCAAACCCTAAACCCTAAACCCTAAACCCTAAACCCTAAACCCTAAGCCCTGGGTCCGCAGCCTGCGGCGCGGGCGCTCGGGCCAAGGCGGGCTTCCCAGAGAGAAAAGCCAAACCCTAAACCCTCGGAACTAGCTGCTGGCCAACTCCCCACGCACGCAGCCCTAAACCCTAAACCCTAAACCCTAAAAAAGGGTTTCGCACCTGGTTCGTTTTGCAGTCCCAGATGCCGTCGCAGGCAATTATGAGAAACTCGTCTTCCTTGCAGACAGGGGTGACCCTTCAGCGAAGCAAACCAAAAAGCAAATCAACCACCACCATCAGCAGCAGCAGCAGCAGCAGCAGCAGCAGCAGCAGCAGCAGCAGCAACCCCAGCAGCAGCAGCAGCAGCACGCCACCCGCACCATCCGCAGCAGCACCCCCCCACTCCTCACGCTCAGCAGCAGCAGGCGGCTCCTCAGCAGCAGCAGCAGCCACAGCAGCAGCAGCAGCAGCCACAGCAGCAGCAGCAGCATGTTTTAAAGAGAAATTAAAGAGATTTAAAAAGAATTTAAAAAGAATTTAAGAGAATTCAAAAAGAATTTAAAAAGAATTCAAAAAGAATTTAAAAAGAATTATAAAAGAATTAAAGAGATTTAAAGACAGAATGAAAAGGAGACTAAAAGGAGACCAAATGGATTTAAAAAGGAGCCAAAAAAAAAGCCCAAAAAGATCCGAAAAACCAAAAAAACGCAAAAAGAGAAATAAAAAAGAAATAAAAAGACAAATAAAAAGAAATAAAAAGAAATAAAAGAAATAAAAAGAAATAAAAGAATTGAAAGAAATAAAAAGGAATAAAAGAAATAAAAATAAAAACAATTAAAAGAAATAAAGCACCAAGAAGAAGGCCCTTCAGAGCAAAAACGGAACAAAAAAAGAAATAAAAAAGCAAAAAAAGCAAAACAAAAACAAACAAAAACAAACCAAACAAACAAAACAAACAAAAGAATAAAACAGAAGAACAAAAGAACAAAACAACAAAAGAAAACAAAACAACAAAACAAAACAACAAAACAAAACAAAACAAAACAACAAAACAAAACAACAAAACAACCAAAAAAAACAACAAAACAACCAAACAAAAGAAAAAAAACAAAACAACAAAACAAAGGAACAAAAGAACCAAACAAAACAACAAAACAAAAGAAAAAAACAAAACAAAACAAAAAAGAAAAAAGAAAAAAGATTACAAGTCCAGCTCTGGAAAGAACTGCGCGGGAGTCTCCGGCATTTGCTGCAACAATGAGGGGAGTTGCTGCATCCAAGAGGCAGCAAACGATGGCTGTGGAGCCGCAGCCTTCTGGGGAGGAGGGGTGGGGGTGTTCGAGGCGTTGAGGGGCTTCTGCTGCTGCTTCCAAGTCTTCTGCTGCTGCTGCTGCTGCTGCTGCTGCTGCTGCTGCTGCTGCTGAGGCGGAGGCTGCGGAGGTCACCTGGCCTCCTGCTGCTGCTGCTGCTGCCTTCGCCCCCTCAGACGCAGACACGCGCGCGGGGGCCCCGCGGGGAGACGAACTCCGCTGCCCCTTTGCTGCTGCTGCTGCTGCTGCAGGCCGCCTGCTGCTGCTGCTGCTGCTGCTGCTGCTGCTGCTGCTGCGCGGGCTCTCCTCGCTCTCCTCCCCGTCCGACTCGCTCGAAGGCGACGAGCTCCCTTCTCTCCCCGCTGCTGCCTCCTCGTCCTGCTGCTGCTGCTGCTGCTGCTGCTGCTGCTGCTGCTGCTGCTGCTGCCGCTCTGCCTTCGCCCCAATGTCCGAAGTGCTGTCCAGACGCCCCAAAGCCAGCGGCCGCGAGGCCTCCCCTTGGGGGCTCTTTTCTGTTTCTGAAAATAAAATTAAATAAATAAAATAAATAAAATAAATAAAATAAATAAATAAATAAATAAATAAATATAATAAATTGACTTGTTTCTTGTAATTCACTCAGCCAAATGACAACAGTTATGGGGCTGCAAGCACACAGGCAAAAAACCCCGCTGCTGCAACGCCCACAAACCCTAAACCCTAAACCCTAAACCCTAAACCCTAGAAAGCCTGTTTTACCCCCTGTCGGCTCTTCTTCTTCCGTTTCTTCTTTTTTATTTTCTCCCTCTCCATCTTCATTTGCAACCATCAGCTGTACGTACACCCCAAAGCACACACCAACAAGCGTTTGCCAGCAGCAGCAGCAGCAGCAGCAGCAGCAGCAGCAGCAGCAGCAGCTGCAGCAGCAGCAACAGCTGCTGCTGCTGCTGCTGGCGTGTAGAAGAGGCCTCAATTACGAGCAGCAGCAGCAGAATGGAAATGAAGTAAAAGACGAAATAAAGCACCAAAATGGTCATTTTGAGCTGGAAAAAGCAGCAAAATGCATCAAATTTGAAGGAGAATTTGAAAAATTGAACAAATGAATTCCAAAAGTTGTTTAAAGTTTTCTAAATTCCTCAAAATGATCAAAAACGGAGTTTTCCTTGCCTGGATATACCGCTGGCCGTCCATGTCCACTACGCGGGCGTCGCCGCCGTTTCGCAAGAACCATTCCAAGTAAGTTTCTGTTCCCATTTGTTCTTTTTGAGCCTAAAAAGCATTTCAAATTTATTTAATTTTAATTTATTTCTTCTTTTTATTTCATTTAATTCATTTGCTGCGGAAAAAGCGGAAAAATCCGAACTTTCGCCACTTCAAACGCATGCCGCAGCGTCTTTGCTGCTGCTGCAGCAGCAGCGACGCAGCAGCAGCAGCAGCAGCAACGGAAGAGCAGCAGCAGAAGCAGCACCAAAGGAAGAGCAGCAGCAGAAGCAGCAGCAATGCAGCAGCGACGGCGGAGGCAGCAGCATGGGAGGAGCAGCAGCAGAGGCAGCAGCTGCAGACGAAGAAGAGCAGCAGCAGCAGTAGGCAAGCAGCAGCAGCAGCAGCAGCAGCAGCAGCAGCAGCCCCTTCCCGGCAGCGCAAACGCAGCACCAGAAGCAGCAAAAGAACCAGCAGCAACTGCAGCGACAGGAGCTGCAACAGCAGCAGCAGCAAAGCTTGCAGCAGCAGCAAAAGAAATAGCAGCAGAAGCAGCAGCAGAAGCAACAGCGGCACCAGAAAGAACAGCAAAAGCAGCAGCAACGCCGCAGCGAAAACAGCGACAGCCCCAACAACTCCTCCCGCAGCAGCAGCAGCAGCAGCAGCAGCAGCAGCAGCAGCAGCTCACGTCCTCGAAGAGTTTGAGCAGCGCGTATCTGCTTTCTGGAGTTTGGATTTTTTCATCAACAGCAAGAAAAGCATCTTCAAGAGCTTGGCAAACCACTGCCACGCTGCTGGTCATGAAGCTGCTGCTGTCCTCCTCCTCTGCTGCTGCTGCTGCTGCTGCTGCTGCTGCGGTGTCGCCTGCTGCTGCTGCTGCTGCTGCTGCTGCTGCGCCCCGGTTGCTGCCGCGCGGCAGCTGCTGGTGCTCCGCAGCCATCTCCGCCCGCACTGCCAGCAGGCACTCCGAGAAGATCTGGGAAATGGCAAAACAATTAATTAAATAATTTAATTAATTTAATTAATTAATTAAATTAAATAATTAAATTAAATAATTAAATTAATTAATCATTTGCATTAATTAAACTCCAAGAGAAGGCCCTCCTCCGCGAAATCGCCGCATCCGCCGCCCCCAGACACCACCCGCAGCAGCAGCAGCAGCAGCAGCAGCAGCAGCAGCAGCAGCAGCAGCAGCAGCAGCAGCAGCAGCAGACCCGCAGCAGGTTCGCAGCAGTCCACTGGCTAACGGCGTTGCTGCCGTGGCCATCGAAAACCCCATAAACCCCCACATCTGAAATGCCCATATCTTCCAGGGCCTCCAGGGCACTGCCGCATTCTGCCCCCAAGGGGGCCCCCCGGGGGCCCCCCTGGGGGCCCCCCTGGGGGCCCCCCTGGGCCCCTTCCTGGGGGCCCTCCTGGGGGCCCTCCTGGGGGCCCCCCTGGGGGCCCCCCTGGGCGGCAGCGCCTCGAGGGGCCCCCTGGGGGGCCCCCTGGGAGCCCGGCGAAGCCGCGGCAGGCTTGGGGGCCCCCGGGGGCCCCCCGGGGGCCCCCGGGGCCCCGGGGGCCCCCGGAAGACGGGGGGGCCCCCTGGGGGGCCCCCCGGGGGGCCCCCTGACGAGGGCCCGCAAAGAGGGTACTGCCAAGTGGGCGTCCTCCATGGTCTGGCGCCAACCCTGCATTGCTGCTGCTGCATAAACGGAAGTTGCTGCTGCGCTGCTGCCTCCGTATTCGAGGTGCTTCTTTGTCTTGGGCGAGGCCAGGAAAGCCCCCATTTTCGCGCCTGCAAGCAGCAGCAAACACAGACACGACCTGCTGCTGCTGCTGCTGCTGCTGCTGCTGCTGCTGCTGCTGCTGCTGCGGGGGCTGCGCGGCTGCGCGGGGGGGGCGCCGCGCGGAGCGGCAGCAGCGGCTTGGGGGGGCGGGGGAGCGCGGCTGCGGCTGCTGCTGCTGCTGCGGCGCGGGACCGCTGCTGCTGCTGCTGCTGCTGCTGCTGCTGCTGCTGCTGCTGGGGGTGCTGCTGCTGCGGCTGCTGCTTCCTGCTGCTGCGCCGTGGGACACACCGTGGGTGAGGTGCACGTACACCTCGTGGCCGTGCTGCGCGTCGCGCGTCTGCGGGTGGAGAGGGGCAACAGCTGCTGCTGCTGCTGCTGCTGCTGCTGCTGTTGCTGCTGCTGCTGAGACTGGCAGGCGCTCAGCAGCAGATGGTTCGCAGAGCGCTAAACAAGATTGAAAACCAAAATGAAGAAAAAAAAGAAAAGAAAGAAGGGGCAATTGAGCCGTTGCTGCCGCTGGAAGTCCACAGCAGCAGCAGCAGCAGCAGCAGCAGCAGGACCACCCAGAACAGACACACCGGGGCCCTCTATCTGCAAACAATCTTCAGAATCAAAAGAAACTAGCACACAGAAAGCAAGCAAGCTCACACAAACAGAGGAGCCGCTGCTGCTGCTGCTGCTGCTGTTGCTGCTGCTGCTGCTGCTGCTGCTGCTACACTGCCACAGCCCCTCACCACATCCGCGAGGGCTCGGCGCTGCGCACCTGTTTGTTTCTCGAATTAAATTGTTTAATTGTATTTATTTTGGATATTAGAATTACTTTAATTCGTTTCAAAGCGAAGAAAACTGATAAGGCGGGCCAGCGGCTCGCGAGCCCGGCGCCCGACTGCGGCGCGCTGGGGTGTACAGACACCTCGAGGCAGCGCCCGCTGCCCAGAAAAACGGAATTGACCGTCACTTTGATTTAATTTTAATTTTAAATTCAACAGTTTCATTTAATTAATCATTTGGTTCGGTTTTTTTTCCATTTTCAGCTAAAACACAGCAGAAATGGTTGCGGCCGTCAGGGGCCCCCGCTGCTTCTCGCAGGCCCTGCGGCTTTTCGCCGCTGCAGCCTTTGTTGCTGCTGTTTTAATCCCCGAAGCAAATAATTATTTAATTTAATTTATTTCTTTTCTTTTTCTCTTCAAAATGACCCTTTTTAGGCCCTCCACTTCTTTAATTCCGCTGCCTTTCGCTTTCTGCGCAGCACACGCAGCTGCATGCGCTGGCGAGCTGCGGTGTACGTACACCTCAAAAAACAGCCACTTCGCCGCATTTTAATTCATGCTTTCATTTCTTTTCTTTTGAATTCTTTTCTGCAACTCCAGAGCCCCCAGAAGCTGCATGCAAGGGCAAACAAGTCCAAAACTATATCCAAAATAAATCTTTTACTTTTTAATTATTTTAAAATTCAAAAGAAATGCCTTTTCCTCTTTCGCTCCAACTCAAAGCTTCCCACTTGGAGTTTGAATCTGGAGGGCAAGCAGAAGATGAATAATCTAATTAACTAATTAACTAATTAATTAATTAATTAATTAATTAGTTAATTAGTTAATTAATTAATTAATTAATTAATTAATTAATAAACTAATTAATTAATTAATTAATTAATTAATTAATTAATTAATTAATTAAATATAGTTTATATTTATTTAATTAAAATGAGAAATAAAGAAACGGAAATGCATTACTGCTCTGATGCTGCCAGCCCGCAGGGCAAAACTGCAGCAGCTAAACAGCTAGCTGCAGCAGCTACTGCTGCAGCACCAGCAGCAGCAGCTACTGCTGCAGCACCAGCAGCAGCTGCTGCTGCAGCACCAGCAGCTTCTGCAGCAGCACCAGCAGCAGCAGCAGCTGCTGCAGCAGCAACTGCAGCAAGTCGCCGTTACTGCGCATTTGGCTTAAAAGGGAAATTCTAAGCAGCAAATAAACAGCAGCTGAAAGCTGCAGCAACTCGCTGGCGGGATAATTCATTGAGAGGGAATAAAAGAAAATAAATAAATAAAAAAACAAAAAGTGATAAAACCTAAAAAGTAAATTGCAAAAAGAAAAGAGCTTTCTAGAACAAACTAAATCAAATCTGGCTGAAAAGCAATTAGAAGAAAAGCAGGAAATAAAGAGGAAATAATTGTGTTCTTCCAGGTTAATGGTAATTACAAACAGCAGCAAAGCTGCTGCTTGTAATGCTGTCGCTGCTGCTGCGCTGCAGCAGCAGCAGCAGCAGCAGCAGCAGCAGCAGCTCCCGCGGCTTTCCACTGCTTCCTTGCACACAAACGAACAAACGCTGGCAGTTTGCGAATAATGCAAAAGTGAATAAATGAGAAATAATAAATGAATTATAATTTGCAAATAAATAAACAAATAAAGCTTCAAGGCTTCTTCTCTCCATGGTACTTCTCGTGGGCCTTTTTGTGCTTCTCAAGAAGCTGCAAAAGAAAAAAAATAAAAAAGATTAAAAGGATTAAAAAAAGATTTAAAAAGATAAAAAGACAAATAATGAAATAATAAATATTCGTGTGCAACAATTAAACGAAAAAACGACAAAAATTGGCGAAAAATAAAATGAAAAATAACTGAAAAGAATACCGACTGTACGTACACCCGAAGAGCAGCACGTACACCCGAACAGTTGACAAATAATGCTTCAAAAAACAATTTTAATCAGCAGCAAAAGATAAAATAATTGAAATTTAAATAAAAAATAATTAAAATTTAAATAAATAAAGTGCAAATAAACATCTGCTGCATGCAAACGAAGGCAGCCAGAGCTGTCGATACACCCCAAAGGCACTGCGAGCGTTTCAGGTGTCTCGGGAGCTCTCCTGCAAATCCAGACTTTTTAAAAATCAGATTTATTAAATTAAAATATTTAAATACTCTTTTTAAAATGCAACGCATGCAACAAATCAGGTCCACGGAAGCGGCAAAATGAGGTGTACATACACCTGAGGAACTGCCCTTGAGGTGTACATACACCTGCGTACAGCTGCGGTGTACAGACACCTGGCTGCGGCATTTCACGCCGTTTCTGGCGAGTTTAGAAGATTCAAAAGAACAAAATGAGAATAAAATAGAAAATGGGATCAAAAGGAATTAAAATAAACTGGAATTGCGGAGAAAAGTCTGAAATCCGCGGCGTTTTGAGGTGTCTGTACACCGCACCTTGGCCAGGTTCTTCCGCTGGCTTTTTGGAATTTCTTTGCCGTCTGCAAAAGTCAAAGGAATTCCTTCCTCATCAAAAGTGCCATAAACACCTTTTTGAGTTTCTTTGAAGTAATTTTTTGGTTCAATTTGAGCTTCAAGTTGCTTCTTCAGCAACGCCTCGGCCTGCAGCAGCAGCAGCAGCAGCAGCAGCAGCAGCAGCAGCAGCAGCGGCTGTCAGTGCCCCTGTTAGTTAATTCAAATTTTCCGTCTTCATTTAATGGCTTTGCTTATTTATTTATTTGCACTAATTAATGCATTTGGAGATACTTTTATTATTTTATTTCTGTTTAATTCATTTACTTTCTTATTGAATACTTTAAATGCTCATTTAGTAAAACATTTTTATCAACACATTTTTCACTATCCCGGAAATTAAATAATCGAACTAACTATTTAATTAAATAATTAAAACTAAAAAATTAATTAATTTAAACAAGTAATCAATTTAATTATGCAATTGATCAACTAATTCACTTTATCAACTAATTAATGAATTAAACTTAATTAATGAAATATTTAATCAGACGAATTAATTAATTAAAATAATTAATTGGTTTATTTAAATTAAATAATTAATTAATTAAAATAATTAATTGGCTTAATTAAATTAAATAAGTAATTAATTGATAATTAATTAAAATAATTAATTTGTTTAATTAAATTAAATAATTAATTAATTAAAATAATTAATTTTGCTTACTTGATTTTTCCTCTCGAGCTCTCTGGCGGCTTCTTTCTTTTGCTCTTCTTCTTTTCGGAGTTGCAATTCTCTCAAAACTTCTTCTCTGAGACAAAAACAAAAATAAAAAAGTTTAAATAAATAAATAATAAATAATAATAAATAAATAGACAAATAAATAAATAAATAAATAAAATAAATAATAAATAATAAATAATAAATGAGTGAAGGAATAAGAATAAATAATTAAAGGGAAATGCCGAAAGAAACGAAAAATGGACAAGTGAAATAATAAAGGGGTTACTCGAAAAACAGAAAAATAAAAACAAATTAACAAATAAAAAAAATAAAAATAAATGGCAAAAGTGGCAAATAAAAGTCAAATGAATTAAAAACAAAATTAATGGCAAATAAAAGTCATAAATTAAAAATTAGAAAATGGCAAAGAAATAATAAACGAATAATAAATAGAATGGCAAATTAATGGCAAATTAATAATAAAACAAAATTAATGGCAAATAAAAGTCATAGATTAAAAATTAGAAAATGGCAAAGAAATAATAAAAGAATAATAAACAGAATGGCAAATTAATGGCAAATTAATAAT